TCCCTTCCTTCCTTCCTTCCTTCCTTCCTTCCTTCCTTCCTTCCTTCCTTCCTTCCTTCTTCCTTTTTTCCTTTCTTTCTTTTTGAGGTAGGCCTGTAATGCTATGAACTTTCCTCTCAGTACTGCATGCTTTTGCTGTGTTCCAGAAATTTGGGATTGTTGTGTGTTCATTTTCATTTGTTTCCAGAAATTTTTTTATTTCGTCTTGATATCATTGGTAACCCATTAATTGTTTAATAACATGCTATTTAGTCCCCATGTATTTGAATGTAGTTGACTTCTAATTTTATACATGATCTGAAAAGATGCTTGATATGATTTTAGTCTTTTTGAATTTGTAGAGGCTTGTTTTGTGTCCAAACATGTAGTCTTTGTGAATGACCCATGTGCACTGGAGAAGACTGTATATTCTGCAGCTTCAGGGTGAAATGTTCTATAAATGTCAATTAAATCCATCTGATCCAGTGTGTCATTTAGAGGCATTGTTTCCTTGTTAATTTTTTGTCTGTAAGATCTATCCAGTGAAGCCAGTGGGGTGTTAAAGTCCTCTACTATGATTGTATTGTTGTTGATATCTCCCTTAAAGTCCTTCAGAAGTTGTTTTATATTTTTAGGTGCATATATGTTTACCAGGGTTATATCCTCTTGTTGGATCAATCCCTTTAGTATTATGTAGTAACCTTTTATTGTCTCTTGTGATGGCCTTCATTTTGAAGTCTATTTTGTAAGATACAAGTTATGCCACCCCAGCTTCTTTTCTATTTGCATGGAAATTTTTTTTCCATCCCATCACTCTCATCCTATGTGAGTCTTTTATTCTGAAGTGGGTCTCTTATAGACAGCATATATTTTGGTCACGTTTGTGTATTCATTTAGCTACCCTATGTCTTGTTTGGAGCATTTAAACCATTAACATTTAAGGTTATTATTGACTAGTAGCCCTGCGCACGAATCATGCGCCAGTAGCTCGCTGCCGCCCTCCAGTAGCTCTCCACCCACTGCCCTGCCCTCCTGTAGCTCCCTTCGCCCCCCCCCGATTCCTTCTCCCTCATAGCTTGCTGCACTTCCCCCTCCTGTAGTTCTCCACCACCCACTTGTAGCTCACTGTCCCCCCTCTCCTGCTGATCTGGATGCAGTTGTTACGCTTCACAGCGTAATGACCATTTGCATATTACATCTTTATTATATAGGATAGGTACTTATTTATTGCCATTCTAATTCTTTATGCCTGTGTTTCTCTCTCTCTCTCATTTCTTCTCATTACAGCAGACCCTTTAGCATTTCTTGCATTGCTGGTTTGGTAGCCTTTTTTGGTCTAACTCTTCTTTATTTCACCATCGATTTTGAGTGATAGCCTTGCTGGATATAGTAATCTTGGTTTCAGATCCTTACTTTTTATTACCTTGAATACTTCATGCCAATCCTTTTTGGCCTGTAGAATTTCTGATGGAAAATCAGTTGACAGCCTTATGGGAGCTTATTTGTAGGTAATAGTTTGCTTTTCCCTTGTTGCCTTTAAGATTCTCTCTGTGTCTTTAATTTTTGGCATTTTAATTATGATGTGCCTGGTGTGGGCCTGTTTGGGTTCTTTTTGCTTGAGACTCTCTGTGCCTCCTGAACTTGTGTGACTTTTTCCTTCACCAGGTCTGCCATTATTTCTTAAAACATGTTCCCTATCCCTTAATCACTTTCTTCCCCTTCTGGCCCTGCTATTTTACAAACAGTGTTAAGTTTCATGTTATCCCATAGTTCCCTTAAGCTGTCCTCCTGTTTTTTAATTTTTTTTTTCTTTTTGGTTCTCTGATTGAGTGATTTTTTCTATCCTGTTGTCTAAATTCACTGATCTGATTCTTGGCTTCCCCTAATCTGCTATGATTCCTTCCACTGTGCTCTTTGTTAATGCTATGTCATTCATTGTTGTATCTTTTCTCATGCTATATCATCTGATAGAAGTGGTGGTCTGGCTGTGTTGAGTATCATTATTCTGATCTCTATGTCTGATAAGTTTCTTATCTCCATTTCATTTCACTCTTCTTTTGAAGCATTCTCTTATTCTTTCGTTTGGGGCTTATTTTTTTGTCTCCCCATTTTGGCTGCCTGTTTGGGTTTGTGACTATGTATTAGGTAGATCAGCTATGCTTCCCAATCTCTAGTGCAAGACAGTGTCAGCCACTGTTTTTGACTGGTCCTGAGTACCCTGTTTGGAGCTATCAGCAATCCACAGCTTGTGGCTCCCTCTGTTAGAGCTAGGTGCCTTTGGAAAGGACCAAGATGTGCACCAAGTTCTGCATTTTCTAGCCCTGGGCCCTCAATTAGATCAGGCAAAGACTGAAAGCCTCCAGAGACCCACCTCTGCCTGCAATCTGATTGTATTCAGTCTTGATTAGCATCAGGCTATGGACCACAGGGTGGGGTGAGAGTTTTTCCAACAGGGTGGGGCAATTGCTTATGCCTGCAGGCTGATTGTTATTCTTAGTCTCTTAATGGGCCTCAAAAACTCCACAGGTTGGGGCATGGGGTTTTCCAATAGGGTGGGGCACCCCCCCCCCCCCACACACACAGACAAAACCCACTTGGATAGCAAAGATCCACCAGAAAAATATGTCCTCACAGCATGAGGGAATGACTCAGCACAGGAAACCAAGGTGTCTGCCTTCCTACGTCTAACCCCAGAGCCCCCAACCCTGGGTTCTGCTCACAAGACTTCATTCCACTCTGCCCTCCCTCTGCTGGACCCCATGGTGAACAGCTGCATGTGAAATTTTGTGCAGTGGCCTTTTAAGGCGTTGCCTGCATTTTCAGTCATCTTCCCCAGCAGACAGCAACTTTGCTTTTTTTCTCAGCCAGATGTTATGTGAGTATCTTTATCAGTTCTGGTGCTCTGGGTTGGAGAGCCTGGCTTGGGCTTTAGATTCCAGAGTTCTCAGTGGGGACCCCCCCTCCCCAACTGCTGAGATATCCCTCTGAAACCTCAGCTGCTGTCTGTGGGAGCCCAGCTAGCCCTTTTGTGCCTTCGCACTTCCTACCAGTCTCTATGCAGACTCCACTTTCTGTCCTTGGTTATCAGGGTTCTCTCCAGCTAGTCTTCATTTGATTATTCAGGATGGTTTTTCTATACTTTAGTTGTAATTCCAGTTTGGTCCTGGGAGTGTGTCAGTGTAGCATCCACTTACTCTGCTGCCATTTTGGAATCTCTGAAAATTGTTATTTTCTTTAATTGAATTTATTGGGGTGACATTGATTAATAAAGTTATACAGGTCACACTTGACAGTTTTTAAAGTGAAGAATTGTAATAAAGAATGTCTACTTTAGAATACTGGCTTGAATCCACATCTGATAAAAGGTTTTTTATAAATATAATAATTTATACTTGCTATATCATCTGATAGAAGTGGTGGTCTGGCTGTGTTGTGCATTTAAGTGTTCTGTATTCTTCACTGGGTCATTAAAATCTTTCATGGGTCGGGAATCTTCTATTTATTTTAGTCAATGCTTCCACTAAATGCTGTTGACTAGACAGAGGAATGTATTATATCCAAATTTATCCTGTCTGTAACAAAACTAGGATCCCACATAACTGGAAGTCATAGTAGCTGCTTTGTTAGGCCCTGTGGATTAGGGTATTTTGTTACAAGTTCTTGTTCATATCTGCTCAATAGATATCTTGGAACTAACATTTCAGACCTCTTTCTCTAGTGCATTTGTTGGAGGAGGCTTTAAGGTTAATCAGAGAGAAGAGCTGCTGTTCTTTTCTCACTCCCACTCCCACCCCCACTCCCACTCCCCTTCTCCAGGATCATTTTTGACAATAAATACGGAAAAGACAAAGCATGAGGAGTTTGTTGGGATTGTTCTGGTGTTTTTATAAGAGAAGCTGATACTTAATATTTCCATCTGTAATTGTCTTTAGTTACTCATTCTGGGTTTTTATTTTTCCTTTTCAGCTGTTTGAGAACTACTACTTTGGTACCTTAAAGCTTAATTCAATCCACATCTCTCAGCGGTTCTCAGTAGACAGCTTTGGAAACTACGCTTCCTGTGGACAAATTGACTTCTCCTGAGGTGAATCTTGAGAAAGCCTAGAAATTGAACATCTTCACAAGGTGCTGGGGGAAAGTGTCTTCATTTTAATTGCCAAGGAGGGATGTGAACTTTTGGATGTTGACTTTCCTGGGTGGTTCCCCGTGGGCTCTGTAGTATCTCTGATGGTGGTCCACAGTCATCAGACTGTTAGCCAAGATGATTGTGGGCACCTGGGGAACTGTGCATGTAACCCTTGGCTTTTTGCAGGGTCTTCTTTTCTTTCCAAAGCTCTTCTGTGGAAATGAACCTCTGAAGCCCATTGGGGCTCAGATTTGCATTACTTCTTATATACTGATTTTGCCCCAGCCATTAAAGTTGTTTATATTAATACTTTAAAAGAGAATTAAAGACATGTGATTTCATTAATCTCTCCATCTAGATAAAATACCTGTAATTTTTAGAAGGTTGATTTTTTTCTCCCTTTCCCTTGTACCCTAAATTTCTGTGTGTGTAATAAAAACAAGCATTTACTGAACACCTACTATGGGCCAGGCATTGTGCTAAGTGTATACGTATTATTATCAAATTATTATTACACTTAGTAATAATATTAATATTTTTATCACTGACAACACTATGAGGGAGGTACTAATACAGTCCCTGTTTTACATATGAGGAAATTGAGGTCAGGTACCTAACTGAAGGTCACATAACCAGGCAGTGGATAGTGTCAGGATCTGAACCCAGCCAGCCTGGGCTCTTTAACACTGTGCTAGAAGCTGCGTGGCCCTTAGCAGCGCTAGAGAGAGAACAAGGAAGAAGACTAGGTATGGAGAGGGGGAGCCACAACGGTTATGGCTGTTCCAGTATCCTAGGACTAAGCAGGAGGACCACTTTGGATGCAGGACTCACAGGATGTTTTGCAAAACTAGATTCATTAGGAGTGCTTGCTTGTACCCTAATTTTTTAAATTAAATTTTTTAAAAATTTTAATTGATTTTAGAGAGGGAGGAAGGAAGAGAGGATAAAACACGCACACATCAATTGGTTGCCTCCCATATGCACCTCGACTGAGGATCAAACCTGCAATCTAGGTATGTGACCTGATGGGAATCAATCCCTAGACATCCTGGTACACCAGACGACTCTCCAACCAACTGAGCCACACCAGCCAGGGCTGTACCCTAATTTTAATCACTACCCAGAATTTCTCCTTTATTGTGGTAGAAAACATGTAACATAAAACTTACCATCTTAACATTTTTTAAGTGTACGTTTCGGTAGTATTAAGTATATTCATGTTGTTGTGAAACATCTCCAGAACTTTCTCATCTTGCAAATCTGAAACTCTGTATCTATTAAACAACTCAATTTCTCTCTCCCCAGACCCTTCAACCACCCCTTTCCTTCCTGTTTCTATGAATTTGACTGCAGTAGATACCTCATAGAAGTGGAGTCATACAGTCTTTGTCTTTTTGTGACTGGCTTATCCCATGTTGGTTCACCCATGTTGTAGCATGTGACAGGATTTCCTTTCTTTTTAAGGCCAAATAATAATTCGATTGTATATATTTACCACATTTTGTTTATCCATTTATCCATCAATGGACACTTGGGTTCCTTGACCTCTTGGCATTTGTGAATAGTACTCTGCGAACATGAGTATACAAGTATGTCTTGAGACCCTGCTTTCAATTCCTACTACTAAGAATTTTATCTTTAGCAAAATAACTGTTACAACTCTCACCTTTTACTTTGATCTCTCCTTTTTCTTCTGAAGTTGGTATCTTTTTATATTTGTTAGATTCCTGTCCCTTCCCCCTACCCTGCCTCTCGCCTTCTAAGCCGCTGACGCTGACGCAGTTGCAGCATTGTAGCCCTTTTATGTTTACTTCTCAGGGCAGCAGCAAGCGGAACAATGATGCTATCAGCAGGACTGTGCAGTTTCCTGGGAAAATGTCAGCTGCAGAAGGTACCGGCAGTCCTTGCCTGCAGACAGCAGAGGGAGGGAGCTCAGCACAGCTTTGCCCCACCCATCAGTCCTGCCACTACCCTGGTGCCAGGGAGCTCCAGCCTGGCTCTCACCTTCCATCTCTTCCTCCTCCACCTCCTCACATCCTTTCTCCCGCCATGTCCTCTCTTTGCTTCCTTCCTCGTTCTTCCCTTGCTTCTTACTTTCTGTTTAAGAAGTTTGATTCTGGGCCCTGTGTGTCAAGGCCACTACATAGTGATAGTTCTTTGTAACACAGATTTGTTTATCACTGTGACTGCACAGGTCATTTCTGAATAAATGAATTTCCAAAGTAACTGCGCTTTTTGATATTTTCTTATAATTTTGTAGTTTGACCTCCTTAGTGTATGTTTGGGATACAGTATTGCCATCACTTATTACTGGCAAAGCTGTGTCATTAATCCAGAACTTACATACTGGTGCCTGTAGGATTGATTTCCCCCCAAGAATTTTGTACTAGTAATACTCGTTTTTATTTGAGATTTTTACCTTGCTTACCCCAGGGTGTTAGATGGCAAGTGGGAATGAGTACTCCCAGTGATAGTATTGAATGGGGAAGTTGACTGTGGGGTTCAGTGCCCTCATCTCCTCTGGGTGCTACTTCTCTCCTACTGGTTTCTTCCTGACAGCTGCCACTGGGCAACCTTGCAAGAGGTAAAGATGTCTTCTTTTGGATGTCAGAGATTTATAACTTGTGTTTTTAATACATTTTAAAAATACATCTTTATTGTTGAAAGTAGTACCGATGTCCCCTTTTCCCCTCCATTTTTTAAAATTTTTTAAAAATATATTTTATTGATTTTTTTTTTTTTTTTTTACAGAGAGGAAGGGAGAGAAATAGTTAGAAACATCGATGAGAAAGAAACATCAATTAGCTGCCTCCTGCACATCTCCTACTGGGGATGTGCCTGCAATCCAGGTACATGCCCTAGACCGGAGTCGAACCTGGGACCTTTCAGTCCGCAGGGCGACGCTCTATCCACTGAGCCAAACCGGTTTTGGCTCCCCTCTATGTTTAAAAAATAGGTTTTTATTGATTTTTAGAGAGAGGGGAACAGAGAGGGAGAGAGACAAACATCCATGTGAGAGCAGAACATTGATCAGCTGCCAGAGATTGAGCCCACAACCTGGGCACGTTCCTTGACCAGAAATCGAACCAGCAACATGGTACAACCCACTGAGCAACACCAGCCAGGGCTACAGCCGGTTTCTGAGACACTGACTTCACCCAATTCTTAGAAGAGGAAGAGGGAAAATGAATTTCTCACTCCAATTATTACATAACTAGGGGCCCAATGCACGAAATACATGCAAGAGTAGGCCTTCTTTCCCCCAGCTGCTGGCACCGGCTTCCCTCTGGCACCCGGGACCCGGGTGTCCCTCACAGTCCCGCCTTCATCTGGAAGGTGGTCCAGTCTAATTAGCATATTACGTTTTTATTATTATAGATAGCTGTGTTGTTATGAACTCTGTTATGAAGAATAATTTTGATTTTTTTTAAAGGGGGCAGAATGAGTTACCCTCAGATGAAGTCCGTATCCATGGTAGAGACATTTATTTTTGGGTGAGCTCCAGAATTGAACATCAGTAAGAATCCAGCTTCATGCTGACACAAAGCTTGTTCAGGTTTGCTCTTTCCTGGAGTGAAAGGGCACCTGACGGCGCTGAGGCACACTGAGTTGAGGAACCCCTCTCATAGTCGACCGTGGTGCTGTTAGAAATAAGGTGAGCCCCAAACCCAGGGTCCAGAGCACCCTCAGAGCCAGACAGCAGGCTGTGTGTTTTTTTTTTAATATATTTTATTGATTTTTTTACAGAGAGGAAGTGAGAGGGAGGGAGAGTTAGAAACATCGATGAGAGAGAAACATCGATTCAGCTGCCTCCTGCACACCCCCTACTGGGGATGTGCCTGCAACCAAGGTACGTGCCCTTGACCGGAATCGAACCTGTGACCCTTTAGACCACAGGCCCATGCTCTATCCACTGAGCCAGCAGGTTAGGGCTGAATCTTCACTCCTGCAGGAGGGTGTGCACACACACAGCGGTGGTCCGCTCATGGTTTTATGTTGAGGCAGGTCATCCATCCCTCACTCCTGATTGGTCAGAGCTTAGGCTCGCAGTCTTGTCTGATTGGCTAATTTAAAGGAAAAGGGGAGGGGCTGACCTTTGCTGTTTCAAAATGGCGGCCCCCAGGGGAGCTCCGAGTCACGCGGCCAAAATGGCTGCCTGAATGCCCTTCTTTGGCAGAAAAGACTGTTTTTCTCACAATGCCTTGGGACGCGGATGGTAGAGAAGGGCTGTTGGTAGCTTTTTCTGTTGTCTTTAATCAAATGTTCTTTTAAACAAATATAAAATAAGTTAATTTCGTGAAAAATCAAGCTATACCTACTTAATACTTTTTAAAATGTATGTTATACGTAGTTTAAATATTTGTTAATAAACTTCATCATTCAGGGGTTACTACTCCCCGTACATTTAAGCACATATCTATTGTTAAGCCATTTTTCAGAATATGAGCGGACGCTCTCACCTGTCATTTGTGTATTAACTCATCAGTCCTCACAGTCGCCATCCGTCGGCAGTGCCATCCTCATCCACAAACCGAGGCTCAAGAAGGTAAGGAACTCGCCAGAGGTCATGCAGCTGTGGTTCCTGAAGTGTGGTCTGTGGGTTCCTGGGCGCCCCAGACCCTGCTGTGGGGGCGGGGTGAGGTCCGCCCTGTTTTCACAAACTAGAAAGGCGTGGTTTGCCCTTCCCCGTCCTCCCGGGAGTGTGCGTGGTCCCGAGGCTGCGCCCCGGCGGCGTCACGGGGGTTGCGGGGTGCGCATCTCCAGGGAGGCGCGGACATAAATACGTGTTTTTAGAGTTGGACGCGGATTGCTCTCCACTTACATGCGCTGGAGAAGTCGCATGCCGAGCCCCACCGCTCGGCCTCACATGTGCCTGTGGGAGAGAAGACTGCGCAGAGGTGAGCGGTGAAAGGGGGCCGAGCTGCAGGGTGGCCCACCCGCCTGATGGCTTCCTTTCAAGAAGAGGCCCTTGGGACACCCGAACCTCAGGTCTGCACAGAAGGCCTTGCGCCTCAACGCGAAGGTGGCCATCGCAGACCAGAAGGAGGCGCCTCCGTAACACCAGCCTTACCAACCCCTGAATCGGGCTTGTAGCCCTTGTATTGACAAAATAAACCTATTGTGTAAGCCGCCCTGTCTGGCATTTTGTGCCGGCCCCGGCCCTGATACACTTGCTGTAATGCAGAAGCCAACCTACCTGTCGTTTTTCGAGCAGGGCATGAAAGAGATTTGCAAAAATGTAAGACAATGCCACTTTTCTCACTGATATTTTTAGGGGAAGATACAGTTTTTCATCAAATATATTGTCTTGTTAATATGCAATGTGTTCCTTATTATTTTTAAATAAATTAAAAAAAATTTTTGTCTGAAAAAACAGATTTAATACTTTTAGAGCAGTTTTAGGTTCACAGAGGAAGGCTGAGTTTTATTTTAAAGTCCAGCCAATTAGAGCCACATCTTTATCTCCCAGAAAAAAGAGTTCTTTGGGGGCCTCATGAGCTCTGAGTGCACAGGACCCCGGAGGCCATACAGTCTGAGAACTGCTGCGCTGCACTGTCCTTGCCTCCGAGGGATGATATTACACATGATCTGTAATGAGCTTTCCTCACCCCGAGGTAGGCGGTGGGTCACATCCACTGTCATTAGATACTCATCCGTATCATCTATCTGTAATGGCTGCACAGCAGTCCATTGTGTACATGTTAACATGGAGCTCGTCGGTCTCTGTGTGACGGTCAGTGAGCTGGTGTCTGGGTTTGGCTATTGAAACAATTCTGGATGGGACAGATTGTGCATTTGTCTCATATGCTTGTGAGATCATCTAGGAATGGGATTAAATGGTTTTGAAGATGTGGTTAATTTAAGTTTTTTATTTGGAATGTAAGGTTTCTCCATTTTGTTTTACTCAATATGAAATACAAACAGGACAATGCATAAAACATATGCACCCTTAGACAAACACACCCAGCAGGTTTTGGGCCCATTGGTTTGAAAGGCTGACCTGCTAGTAGTTGTCTCAAATTAGGAAAACTGTTTCTTCATTATAAGCTATTAGAGGCCCAGTCCATGAAACTCGTACACTGGGGCGGGAGGTCCCCTCTCACTAGCCATGAGCCCCCTTCTGTCTGAGCAGCACTCCCCCTGTGGGATTGGGCCGAAACCAGCTCTCCGACATCCCCTGAGGGGTCCCGGATTGTGCGAGGGCGCAGGCCAGGCGGAGGGACCCCACATGTGCACAGTGGGGCGGGGGAGAGACACAGGAGGTTGGCCAATGGGGGAGGACTCTAGGGTGTGTCCAGCCCCTCTCCCTCAGTCCCCATATGCAGGACCCCAGCAGGAAGCTAACCTCCTGGTTGGAGTGTCTGCCCCCTGGTGGTCAGTGCACATCATAGCAAGCGGTAAGCAGCCTTAGCATATCATTAGCATATTACACTTTGATTGGTTGAACTGCTGACTGGTCAACCGGACACTTAGCATATTAGGCTTTTATTATGGAGGATAATTATTGCCCATTTTCTAAAACCCTTTTACCTCTGGAAATCGACAACAGAAATGGCTTGGCTGTTGGTTTAACTAACAGTCTTCGACTGTTGGTGATTTGCTTTCAGCACAGGGCTGATATTGACCCAGCTTTCAGGTGCTGCCGAAGGCAAGTCCCATTGGAGGAGCTGCCCAGGAGTGTGGGAAACATTTTGACCTTCAAAGGTCTGGAAACAGCTATTGTTTTATTGATGGGCATCTTGTCAATGCCTTTCCACTCTCATTTTGGGAAACTTTGGTAATTGCCGACCAGGGACTTAATAAGATGGTGTTGGAATGGGAGCGCTGTGATCTCTAGGACCTACCTCGTCATTGCCTGGGAAGTGACGAGCTTTGCTACAAGACTAGGATTGAGATGTGGGAAAGGATGGCAACTTTTAGCACATCTTCAGAACGACGGGACATCATCGCTTTCTCTTCCCACCCCGAGGGAAGAACACATTTTTTAAATGCCCACTGTGCCCAGGCATAGTGTGTAATTTTGCACAAGTTTCACAGCAATCTTCTGAGATAGATGGTATTATCATTAATTTGTAGACAGAATATAGGTTAGGTAATTTGTCCAGAACCCAGAGTCCACCCCCCAGTCTACATGACAATAAACCGTGTTCTTCCTCTTCACACTGCTGCTATACAAACCAGCAAAGCTGCTTTATTTACTGGGATAAGAAGACATCAGTGGCCAT